ATCAGGGCGTTTTAGGCTAGAAGGAAACAGTCCGGCGAGTGGGGTGACAGTGAGGACTCTGAGTTTGGGGGAGCGCGGGAGGGGCGGGGAGCAAAATGGAGATGAGGGAGGCGCTGTGGCTTCCTCCCTGCAGGAGGCGCTGGCGCTCCTGGGCCCTACCTCTGCACCCAGCTGTAACCCCGGAGCCTCCCCTCCCCATCGCTCAGATTCCAATACAATTTCCAACTAACCAGCATGTCGATAGAACAAGTCGGGCGGCCGGATTGCTGGCCAATTACAGGAAATCATTCTGCTCCACAGCTCAGCGCCCGGGGATGATGGGGCGGAGGGAGGGAGGATCAAGGAAGGAGCCGCTCGCCTGCTGCTGCCTGGAAGGGCCCCAGGCCTAAAACGGAGCAGCTAGCCCTCTGGCTGGACCCCAAGAGGGTGGAGAGCTCCTGGGGGTGGTCAGGCCATGTTCTTCTGAAGCCAGGAGCAGAGCTCTTGGGCCCAGCCCCCCTAGGATGGCACAGGGAGAGGGTGGCCCTGGGGCCCAAGGAGCTGCTGCGGCCTGGGAGGCATCTACTCAGAGCTGAAGGGATGTTGGGGGACAAACCTTCCAGCAGCCCTGCAGAGGAGTGGGGTGCTGATGACACCCAAGTCCTCCTAGGCTAAGGTGCCCATCAGGTCAGTTGAATGCCTGGAAGCTCAGGGCTGGGGCCCAGGGGTGTGGGGGGGTAGGGGGACAAAGAGGAGAAGAGGAAGGGGGCTGCAGCTGAGTGGACAGCGGTAGTCAGTCTTGGTGAAGGGGTACATCTCCCAGCCTCCTTCCAGAAGGTGGCTGCAGCACTGTGGTAGGGACAGAGCCTCCCAGTCCCTCCACTACCTCCTCCACCTCTGGCCCTCAAGAACCCCCCTCCGGCTCAGCACCCCAAGTCTCCTCCACTCCCACTGCCTCAGCTCTACCTTTCACTTTTCCACCTAGCTGTCCCCTTACCCACTCCCCATCTCTCATGAGGTCCCTCCCTGAATGCCCCGCCCCCAGGCTATCCCTCAAAGCACTGGAAGAACTTCAGGGGCCGAAACATCTCCGCCTTCATGTTGGTGTTGAGTCACAACAGGAAGAAACCGTGGCTCCCAGATCTCATTCCTCCTGAGGTCCCCTCCCCAAGTCCCGCAGGCCCTCACCTCAGGCTTCCACTGGTGGGGCGAGGACTGGATTCAGCCCCTGTTCTTGGACCAGCCCAAGGGTGGAGAGCTGATCAAGGTCAGAAGGGAAGAGGGACCTCGGTGCCCAGCCCCCCTCCTGGCACCCAGAAGGGCTCTGGGAAATGCTGAGGGACCCTTGTTGACTGATAAGGCCAGCTGCAAATTTCCTTGAGTGGGTTCCCCGGGAGAGATCCTCCCTCCACAGAGCCCCTGCGACAGTGCACCTGGCCAACTGTCCAGGGGTGTCGGCCCACCTCTGCCCCCCGCCTGGCACACAGTGGCCACCCATCCCAGAGGAGCTGGGCTCCCAGGCGCTGCCCCGGGTGCTGGTGCTCTGCGATCCGGAAGGGGTCGCCCGCCGGCCCTGGTCCTCCAGGCCCTTGGGTGGGTGCGCCACGCTCCGCAACCCGCAGGCTCCGCGCCCATCGATCGGCCTCGGGGAGCCGGACGCGCCATTCTCCCCTCCCACCTCGCTTTTCGTTTTTTATTGAAGTTTGTTGGAGCAGAGCGCGAAGCGGGCAGAGGCAGAAACCAAATATTTAGTTGCTGCAAATTGGCACCTCCAGATCAATTACCAGGCCCTTGTCAGGCCCTCGCCGCCCGCGCCCACCCCACCCCTGCGCCCCGCTGAATCTCAATGCCGCGCCGCCCGCCCGCCTCCATTCCGCTGCACGTTTCTCATCAGCTCCAGCCATACATCACCCGTGGCCGCGAGGGGAACGGACTTTCAATGGGCACTGTTCCCCGGGAGGGTCCTGGTTGCTGATTCCCACGACGCCCCGCGCTGTCTGGCTCCCGCCCCCAGCACCCCCGTTTGCTGGGGACAGCCGCCAGCCCGGAAATGCTGGGGCTTGGGGGTCACATGGACCTGGGCGCAATCCCAGCCGCTCCTCCTACCCACTGGGTGACCCTGGAGAAGTTACTTATGCTCCCCGCGACTCCGTTTCCCCATCAGCATCAGGGGACTCAGGGTTCACCTGGTCTTGGGGGCGTCAGTGTTGCGGGGGAGGGGAGCTCGCCCTCCTTGTGAGCTTTCAGCCCTAATGAGGGCGATAAGGGTCCAGGGTGAATGGGGGGGATTGAGTGGGAGTAACAGTAATGATGCCCCAGTTCCTGGTCTGCCCGGGGCAGGTAGCGGGATGCCAGTCTGGGTCCATCTGGGAAAGATCTGAGCCAGCCTCAGAGGAACCAAGATTGGCGTCTTAGTTAAACTTGGAGGTAAGCAGAAAGGGCGAGCATTGACATCATGACCCCCGGGGGTGAGGCCAAAGGTGAAGACTGAGGTGCCTGAGAGGGTCACCCAAGACCCCCATCCCATGCCAGGCTGACACAGGAGGCTGTGCCTAAGGCTGAGGATGAGGAGGCCAGCCCTGTGGGGACAGCTGGGCTTTGGGTTTTGACAGCTGTGTGGCTCTGGACAAGTTCCTTAACCTCGTCGCACTTCCGTTTTCCCGTGTGTAAAATGGGGTGCAACGAGGAGTGTGGGTGCCGATGTTAGCCACAGCAGCAGGTGGGAGTGCCCTTCCTTCCACACTCACTGGGCTTTCTTTCCAGAAGCCTCTGGAAGGAACAGGGGTCAAATCATCCGGCATTTTAAAATAGCTGCCCCAGGCAGGCAGGCAGACAGGCTCTGAGCAGAGGTGTGGGGAAGGCAGGCCGTGGCTCCCGTGGCAGGTGTCCAGAGAGCCTCCCTTTCGTTGGAGCTCCCCTGAAAGAGTGAGCTGCTCCAGGCTGCCCTCCCCGCCGACCCTCACTTCCTCAACTTGTGACACCCCCCCCAGTGGGTTAAACATTGGACTGCTGACTGCCAGGTCGGCAGTTCAAACCCACCAGTCGCTCCTCAGGAGGAAGATGACACTGTGTACTTCCTTAGAGATGTGCGGTCTCAGAAACCCAAAGGAGCATGTCTACTCTGTTCTGTCAGGTTGCAACTGGGATTTGGGCCGGTGGGTGACCTCTAGAGGTCACTGGATCCATCGCCCTGCCTCCCGCCCAGGCTCCTACCCTCACCTGAAATAAGATGATCTCTGCTAGCAAGACAACCCCTCCAGCCTCCTTGGAGCTGGCAGCCCAGCCATTTGTCAAGTCAGAAAGTCCTTCCCACAGTCTACCTTAAATCTCTCACAGCTTCCTTCAGGGAAAATTTAAAGAACAAACAGCAAAAGATAAATGTGTATGGATAGGAGATGCCAGAGGACAAGGGGCCAGGGAAGGGGCTGGTGAAGGAATTACCTTCGGACACAATGCTCTTTGCGTTAAACATCTTGGCGATAAATATAGCTGTGTAATTCTTTTTTTCTCCTTGGCAGAGAGAAAGGCTGAGGCTGGGCAGAAAGGCAGAGGGACCCGAAAATATAAATCAATATGTGACTTTAATATATGTGCTCCTGGTGTCTGTGTGTGCTGGGGGATTATTAGTAACCTTGATTCCAGCTCAGTGTCCATGTGAGGCGGGGAGACGCGTGGCCCCCAGGGAGGAGAGGAGAAATTAGGAAGCCAAATTCCTCTCCTGATTGACACCTGGGTAAACATTATACCAGCAGAAAGGAAAGAAAAAAAGATCAATGCCGGGTATTTTTATCACGTTCCAGGGACGGACAGGGGGGCATATTAAAGAAACAGTCCCTGGGCCTCATTGAATATGCTCATCTCGAAGGAGGAGGGGAGGGCCACAAGAGGAGGTGGTGGTCCTGTCCCAGGGGACAGTGGCCATTGCTGGTTTTGTCCTCCGGCACTGGCATGAGTGGCAGCAGGTACAAAGGGC